CAGGGCATTGAAATGGACCCAGAGAAGGTCAAAGCAGTACTAAATTGGGCACCACCCCGCACAAGAAAGCAACTACAAAGTTTCCTGGGTTTTGCAAATTTTTACCGCCAATTCATCCCCTCATTTGCACAGATAGCCTTGCCCCTCACTAACTTACTAAAAACGAAGGGAACATCCTCAGTAAAACCTAGCCAGCCACTAACATGGACAATGGAGTGCCAAGCAGCGTTTGAGAGACTAAAGAGACTTTTTTCTGCCGAACCAGTACTAAGGCACCCAGACATGGACAAGCCCTTCATAATACAGGCAGATGCAAGTGATGTGGCAGTGGGGGCTGTGCTATTACAAGAAAATGATGATGCAGTATTGCAACCCTGTGCATATACATCCAAGAAACGCACGGAAACAGAACAGCGCTGGCCCGTATGGGAGAAGGAGGCTTATGGGATACGTTGGGCATTACTCACGTGGCGACAGTTCCTGGAAGGCAACAAAATCCCCTTCCAGGTGTGGACTGATCACAAAAATTTAGAAGCCCTGAAAACTTCCAGGAAACTCAATCCCAAACAAGTCCGCTGGTCCCAGCATTTTCACCAATTCCAATTTAAGCTCAAACATTTACCAGGAAGAAAGAACTTCCTGGCAGATGCACTATCTTGCATGCCCCAATATAACAGCGCACGAACCACAGACTCTAGACCAATAATGGCAGAATCACAACTGGCAGCGCCAGTAACCACAAGAACCCAAGCCAAAATAAAACCACAACTGGACAGCCAAACTGGGATTGAATTCAGAAAAAGTTTGGAAACAGATGAATGGTTCCAGAAAAACAAACATGTGTGCACAATGAGAGACGGATTGCCTTGGGTAGGGGAAAAGTTATATATACCAACAACTCAAAGACTAACTTTCATGCACCTTTGCCATGACACAAAATCAGCAGGGCATTTTGGATTTGTAAAAACTTTACACTTAATTAAACGGCAATTTTGGTGGCCATCAATAAAAAAGGACATAGAAAGTTATGTTGCCAGCTGCCCAACCTGTGCATCAGCAAAGAGGTTGCAAGGGAAATCGCCAGGGCTATTACAACCAGTGGCAAGTCCCTCAGCCCCCTGGAGGGAAATAGCCATGGATTTTATAGTGGAATTGCCAGAAAGCAATGGGAATACTGTTATCTGGACAGTCACGGACCTATTTTCCAAACAGGTGCACTTTATCCCTTGCCAAAAAATTCCCACTGCAAAGGCCTTAGCAAAACTTTTCATCCAGCACATTTACAGATTGCACGGGGCACCCCAACGCATCATCTCTGATAGGGGAGTGCAATTTACGTCTGCATTTTGGAAGGAATTTTTATCCCTCTTAGGGACCACTCAGGGATTGACATCTAGCCACCACCCTCAAGGGGATGGACAAGCGGAACGGTGCCAGTCAGTACTTGAGCAATATTTGAGATGTTTTTTAAATTTCCAACAGAGTGATTGGACGGACTTACTTCCTTTTGCAGAAGTTGCCTACAATAATGCAGTCCACTCCAGCACAGGCTACACTCCTTTTCAAATAGCCAACGGTCAAAGTTTCAACCCTATGCCAGAGTTAACCCCAAAAGAACCAACGATCCCTTCACTGAAAGAATGGATGGAAAACCTACAAAACACCTGGCCAATAGTCAGAAAATCACTAGATGAAGCTAGGCGGGCATACAAAGCACAAGCCGATAAAAAAAGGGTTGAGCCTACACCATTCATTATAGGAGAAATGGTGTACTTATCTACAAAATACCTAAAGTCCCTACAGCCCTGTAAAAAACTTGGACCAAAATATATAGGACCTTTTCCAATTAAAAGAATCATAAATCCAGTAACAGTAGAATTAGAATTACCCAAAAATCTCAGGCAAATACACCCAATTTTTCATTGCAGCTTGCTGAAAAGAGAGCATCAGTCACCTCTACGGCCAAAAATCCCCCCCCCACCACCTCCAATCATGGTGGAGGGTGAACAACACTTCGAAATAAAGGAAGTCCTTGACTCTAGGAGATATCATGGAGCAACTCAGTAAATAGTTGCCTGGAAACACCTCCCTGCCTCACAAAACGAGTGGGTCCATAAACGTCATGTCAGAGCCCCGAAACTATTGAAGAAGTTTCACACACAGTATCCCAACAAGCCTAACTAACTTTTATACCTGTTTTGTTTTCTTGCAGGTGGATCTCTCTTATTGTTAAGAGGGGCCGGATGTCAGAATCCAATTATATTTCATCTTTAATTATCAAATATAGAAACTCCCAATTCTGCCTTCTCTGGATTCTGCCATCAGAGGGAGAGAAGGGGGAGAACAAAGGGGCTTTATGGCCCTCACTTCCTTCAGTACACTTCAAAGAGCTGAATGCTGAATGTGTGTTTATTGTAACAAAGAAGGGTATTTGCCTTTCATGTAGTTATCTGAAGTCTCCATCCAGACGGAAGAAAGAAGAAAGGGGGTGGAATTGTGATACTTGAAACTATCACTGGAACGGGGGTTGATTGGGTGGGACTACTGGGGAACCCCTTAAAACCTTGAATGGGAGAGCTTGAACCCCAAGTCCCGTCTAGCATGCCTGCAACCATTTTCTCTTAATAAAGGATTCAAGAGTTCTGTCTTCTTAAGACAGTAACTGTAAGAGGGACCTTGGAGTCCTAGTGACGATCACTTAACTGTGAGCCAGCAGTGTGCAGCAGCAACCCAAAAAGCTAATACAATCTTGGGTTGTATAAACAGAGGCATAGAATCAAGATCACACGAAGTATTAATACCACTTTATAAAGCCCTAGTAAGACCACACCTGAAATACTACAGCCAATTTTGGTCACCATATCACAAAAAAGATCTTGAGAGACTGGAAAAAATCCAGATAAGAACAAGTAAGATGATCAAAGGCCTGGAGACCAAAACATACAAAGTACAGCTGCAGAACTTGGATTTGACCAGCCTAAAGAAAAGAAGAAATAGAGGAGACATGATAGCAGTGTTCCAGTATCTAAGGGGCTGCCACAAGGCAGAGAGAGACAGGTTGTTCACCAGAGCATCAAAGGGAAGGACAAGAAACAATGGTTGGAAGCTGATCAGGGAGAGAAGTAACCTGGAATTAAGGAGAACCGTCCTGACAGTGAGGACAATCAACCAATGGAATAGCTTACCCCCAGAAATAGTTGGCGCTCCATCACTGGAAGTTTTTAAAAAGAGACTGGACAATTATCTGACTGAGACGATATAGTATCTCCTGCTTGAGCAGGGGGCTGGACTAGAAGACCTCTAATGTCCCTTCCAGCTCTATTCTGTTCTAATTACATAGGACTTGGGCACTGGCATTTTTTCCAGTGATTTTCTTTATACTCACAGTAATAACTCCTGCAATAATTTCAGTGTACCCCTGAGTGCCATCCAAGGCAACCAAAATGGAGAGAAGTATTCTTGCTAGTCTTGCCATCCCGTTCTTCTGTTATTTTCCTAGGAGGCCTTACTCTGAGTTCTGGTACTGAGTCTGCATCTGCTCCAGCCACCCTGAGTGCTGTGCCTTTTCTATTTTTTGCAGAGTTTACAATGCATGCTTAGGAGGCCAGAACATTCTGGCTGCTTAAAGTAGGCTGAATGCCAGAATTCAGAGTGATACCCCAGGAACAGCTCAGTGATATGTCCTTTGAGCCTTCTAAAAGCATATGAGGGCAACATAAAAGATAAGAAAGTTAGACTCCCTCAAACTCTGTAATTCTGTATTGGAAAATATTCAGAATAATACATGAAACATGCTCTTTGTGCAACAATTGCATTTTAAAAGCCATACTTATGCTGCTCATCCTCATGCATGATATGTCTGTCTTGATTTTAAAATTCTATCCCCACTGCCTCATGTGTCCTTTAATTTCCAGATATAATTTGATAACTAGTAGCATCAGTAAGAAAATGTGTGTGTGGGGGGGGGGGAGATGTGCTATGAAGAAATCCTATTAAAAAGTTCTGTTTCCAGAATACATTGGACAATTAGCTGGTTTCAAAAGAGGTGGAGGTTATACGGTGTATCAGACTATAAAAAAACCTACAAAATATGACAATTTTACGAATTATTATTAAAATAAAAAATGAATGGACATTTTCAAAGAGATTGGGTTTGGATATTTGTGCTATTCTGGCTATTCTAAGCTCTTGATGTTGGTGACTAAAGTTGATGTCCTTTAGTATTTTCAACCAGATTTGAAATATAAATCACATCTTCTTGAGAAGAATCTAATGATCCTATGGTCTCATACTTAGGATTAGTATCTTGATATGTTTGTATGCATGCATGTTTATGTGTATGCATGTGTGTGTGTGTGTGTGTGTGTGTGTGTGTGTGTGTGTGTGTGTGTATGAGCATTTTATACAGATGTCTGCTTTAGCTCTGTGAAAACAATGTTCTAGCTAAGGCTGAACCAAAATCATCTCCCTCTAATTTTCTCAAAAGCATTAAAATAGGAAAGAATTTCCCACTGATTTCTTGGAGTGAGGAGAAAATTGCACTAACAATTGATGTATACCAATCTAATGAAACTTTATGAAGTGTTTGAGATCTGTCTGTTTTTTCCATTCTTTACTCAAAGCATCATGACATCTGCTCCAAGTCTATCCACGAACTGCAGACAGTGAACAACTTATGCCTTGTATCACTTGAGATATGTCGGGCCTTTTCACTAGGAAAAATAAGGTTATCAACCTTACATATTTATATTATTATAAAATTATAATAATCACTTCTCCATTCCTAATATGTTACTCGATGGAGGTGAAGTAGGGACATAATTCTACTTTCTCACTCTCAATGAATGTCAAAAAATACCTGAGCTCAGCTCATTCCTAAAATTATTTATAGTCTTTCCCCAAAAATCTATTCCATCTAAAAACTGAAGCATTTTATATCCATATATCTTAGCTAGCTTATTGAAGTTATAAGAAATTGATGGTACTCTGTATATACTCACAGATCACTGTTTGTACAATTCTCTTGCAGTTTCACCTGAGGAATCTTAAAATAGAAAAAGCAATGGCAGAATATTCTGCTTTCTTTCATAGAAATCATAGAATCATAGGGCTGGAAGGGACCTTGGATATCTTCTAATCCATGCTCCTGTTCTTGGCAGAAGACATTATCATTCTGGATAAATAGTTCTCCAGTCTTTTCCTGAAGATCAGCAGCACCCCCAATTTCAGGAGGCAAGCTGTTCTTTTTTTCATCCTCACAATGTTAAAGTTACCCTTTTCTTGAACTGGTATAATATTCATAATTGTTTTCTTATCCTCATATAATCAGATATTTTAATCTCTTTTTTTCTTGCTGTTTGGCATGAACAAGATAGGTTTCCTATATTTTATTCTACAAATCTACTTCCTAAATCAGAATTCATTTCCTTTTGGTTTCCCTTCTCTTTTTATTTCTTGTTACTTTATGTAATGATCTAACATGGCTTACCTGAACCAAACATGTCAAAGCAGAGATGGTTGCCACTTGGGTACACTTGCCCATCATATAATGTGATTTTTCTTTTCCTTACCAAAATTGGTGTTGCCTATTTAACTTAGGTTCATCATGCACAGTCTGTAGATCAAGCAAATAAACAATGAAATAGGCTTAAGACATAGTGCTTTGCTTTTTCAGTCCATATGTTTTAGAAAGTAATGCAGTATTTCTTATTTATAGATATTATAGACATTCCCAAAATGTACATGCTTTCTCGGTGTCTGTTCATATTTACCTCAGAAGCTGAATGGGAAGACCCACAAAGTTGAAGAGGGAGCCAAATCACATTGTCCTTCAGTGCAAAATGTTCCTGCTTATTTCTAATAGGGTTGTTTGTTGTTGTTTTTTTGCCCCTGCCTCCTCTTTGAAGACAGAGATCTAGTTTAGGATGAAGGTTGAAGAGTAGTGCCTCTTTCTTCTTCCTTATCCTTTTTCCCAGAGAAATTCCCTTTCAAGGACAGGCTTTTATATTTGCAAAATAACTCAGAAACTACTCTCATGAGATCTACTTAGTCACCCATGATGCCAATATCCAATGAAGTACTAAAATGTTAATCTGTAATAAACTGCTGCCATTTCAGCAATTGGCCTCACATAATTAATGTAGTTTGTTTCTTTTTCAAAGAAATTATTTTCCCTCAAGCTGCTTAATCAGAATTGTGTAACAACCTGCTGTTTTCCATGGGTACAACCACCTTGATTGCAGTTAAATTTCTTGTGCTTTGTTGTTTGTATATGTGCATGTATTGAGCTGGAAATATATGTACTATATCCCATTATTGAAGAAATCCAAATATTTCTCAATAATCATTCACATTTTAATCGGGTTTATAGTTAACAATTTCCTTTGGGGCATGTAATACTGTTCTGTGAAAGGTAAGTCAGTGCTGAAATGGAAAAGTTGCTTATGCTCAATTACAACTATGTTGCATCAGCAGTTAAGCGGGTGAATCATTACTCTGACATAGCTTTCAAAGGCAGCAAGCAGAACCAATGGATTCTGGAGCATGACAACCATTCTCAATTAGAGGATTTTTTTTTAAACAGCCATTTACAAACCTCATTGTAAGGACACACCCCACTTTGCATCTTAAGAAGACAGAACTCTTGGAATAATTCTTCCAACAGGCATCCTTTATTAAGAGAAAATGGTTGCAGGCGTTCTAGACAGGACTTGGGGTCCAAGCTCTCCCATTCAAGGTTTTAAGGGGTTCCCCCAGTAGCCCCACCCAATCATCCCCTTCTTCCAGTGACAGTCTCAGGCATTACACTCCCATCCCCATTTCCTTACTGCCGGCTAGATGGAGACTTCAGAGAGAACTACATGAAGGTAATAGCCCCATTGTTATGGTTAGTCCTTTTGGTGATATACACATCCAGTTCCTTTGAAGTGTACCGAAGGAAGTGAGGGACATAAAGCCCCTTTGTTCACCCCCTTCCCTCATTATATGACAGAATCCAGAAAAGGAAGAAATGGTATTTTCTATAGTTGATAACTAGAGATGAAATATAATTGGATTCTGACATCCTGCCCCCTTTTAAAAAAGACAGATCCACCTGAAAGAAAACAAAACAGTTATAAAAGTTAGTCAGGCTTGTTATGATACTCTTTGTGAAACTTTTTTAATAGCTTTGGGGCTCTGACATGACGTTTATGGACTCACTCGTTTTGTGAGGCAGGGAGGTGTTTCCAGGCAACTAGGTACTGAGTCGCTCCATGATATCTCCTAGAGTCAAGGATTTCCTTTATTTTGAAGTGTTGTTCGCCCTCCACCATGATTGGAGGTGGTGGGGGGAGGATTTTTGGCCGTAAAGGTGACCGATGCTCTCTTTTCAGCAAGCTGCAATGAAAAATTGGTTGTATTTGCCTGAGATTCTTAGGTAATTCTAATTCTACTGTTACTGGGTTATGATTCTTTTAATTGGAAAAGCCCTATATATTTTGGTCCAAGTTTTTTACAGGGCTGAAGGGACTTTAGGTATTTTGTAGATAAGTACACAATTTCTCCTATAATGAATGGTGTAGGCTCAACCCTTTTTTTATCGGCTTGTGCTTTGTATGCCTGCCTAGCTTCATCTAGTGCTTTTCTAACTATTGGCCAGGTGTCTTGTAATTGTTCCATTATTTCAGTGATTGGATTGTTGGTTTGTTTGGGGTTAATTCTGGCATGGGGTTGAAACTTTGACCGTTGGCTATTTGAAAAGGAGTGTAACCTGTGCTGGAGTGGACTGCATTATTGTAGGCAACTTCTGCAAAAGGGAGTAAGTCCGCCCACCCGGTCTGTTGGAAATTAAGAAAACAGCTTAGATATTGCTTGAGTACTGAGTTCATTTTTTCAGCCCCCTCATTCCCTTGTGGGTGGTGGCTAGATGTCAGTCCCTGAGTGGTTCCTAAAAGGGATAAAAATTCCTTCCAAAATGCAGACATAAATTGCACTCCCCTATCAGAGATGATGCGTTGGGGTGCCCCGTGCAATCTGTAAATGTGCTGGACGAAACTTTTCGCTAAAGCTTTCATGGTGGGAATCTTTTGGCAAGGGATAAAGTGCACCTGTTTGGAAAACAAGTCTGTGACCATCCAGACAACAGTATTCCCATTGCTTTCTGGCAATTCCACTATAAAATCCATGGCTATTTCCCTCCAGGGGGATGAGGGATTTGCCACTGTTTGCAATAGTCCTGGCGATTTCCCTTGACACTCTTTGCGGTAGCACATTTTGGGCAGCTGGCTACATAACTTTCTATGTCATTTTTCATGGATGGCCACTAAAATTGCCGTCTAATTAAGTGTAAAGTTTTTACAAATCTAAAATGCCCTGCTGATTTTGTGTCATGGCAAAGCTGCATGAATGTGACTCTTTGGGTTGTTGGTATATATAACTTTTCCCCTACCCAAGGCAACCCGTCTCTCATTGTGCACACATTTTTGTTTTTCTGGAACCATTCATCTGTTTCCAAACTTTTCCGGAATTCAATTCCGGTTTGGCTGTCCAGTTGTGGTTTTAATTTGGCTTGGGTTCTTGTGGTTACTGATACTGCCAGTTGTGACTCTGCCATCATTGGTTTAGAGTCTGTGGCTCGCGCGCTGTTATATTGGGGCATGCGAGATATCTGCATCTGCCAGGAAGTTCTTTCTCCCTGGTAAATGTTTGAGCTTAAATTGGAACTGGTGAAAATGCTGGGACCAGCAGGCTTGTTTGGGATTGAGCTTCCTGGGCGCTTTCAGGGCTTCCAAATTTTTGTGATCAGTCCACACCTGGAAGGGGATTTTGTTGCCTTCCAGGAACTGTCACCACGTGAGTAATGGCCAATGTATCCCATAAGCCTCCTTCTCCCATACGGGCCAGCGCTGTTCTGTTTCCGTGAGTTTCTTGGATGTATATGCACAGGGTTGCAATACTGCATCATCATTTTCTGGTAATAGCACAGCCCCCACTGCCACATCACTTGCATCTGCCTGTATTACGAAGGGCTTGTCCATGTCTGGGTGCCTTAGTACTGGTTCGGCAGAAAAATGTCTCTTTAGTCTCTCAAACGCTGCTTGGCACTCCATTGTCCATGTTAGTGGCTGGCTAGGTTTTACTGAGGATGCTCCCTTCATTTTTAGTAAGTTAGTGAGGGGCAAGGCTATCTGGGCAAATGAGGGGATGAATTGGCGGTAAAAGTTTGCAAAACCCAGGAAACTTTGTAGTTGCTTTCTTGTGCGGGGTGGTGCCCAATCTAATACTGCTTTGACCTTCTCTGGGTCCATTTCAATGCCCTGGGGGGATAAGCGATAACCTAGGTAGTCTATCCTTTCCTGGTGGAATTCGCATTTTGAGAGTTTGGCATATAGGTGGGCGGCTCGCAGCTTCTTTAAAACCGCTCTGACAAGGTTGACATATTACTCTTTTATTTCGGTGAAGATAAGAATGTCTAGGTCTAGTTTAGAAAAAAATTTCCCTTTCGATAGATGTGACAGCATGTCTTTCACGAGGGGCAGAGGGTATAGGTTGCTTTCACTGATTGTATTCAGGGCCCTATAATCCATGCATAAATGTAAAGAGCCATCCTTCTTCTCTCTAAAAAGGACCGGGGCAGCCACTTTAGGCTTGGCTGGCTCAATGAAACCTCTCTCTAGGTTTTTTTTTTATAAATCTTTCCATTTCCTCCTTCTCCTTTGGGCTCATGGAGTATAATCTGGGCTTCGGGAGTTTTGCCCCAGGCTTGAATTCAATGGTACAGTCTGTGGGTCGGTGGGGGGGAAGCTCATTCTCCCTCTCCTCACTGAAGACTTCAGCAAGGTCCCTATATTCCTCTGGTATTTCTGTTAATCCTTTTTCCTCTCCTATGGATGCTTTTTCTATTCTTGATTCTGGTAGCCTCCCTTGGGGTTTTAAGTCCATAGGGTCCCCCTTCGGGAATTTGATTTCTGTCGTCCTCCAATTTACCCAGGGGTTCCATTTTTTTAACCATTCCATCCCTAGAATCATTGGGCATTCTATGCCTGGGGTCACCACAAACGTTATGTCCTCCTCATGTTTGCCCAGCGAGAGGTGTATTGGTAGAGTGGCTAGGGTAGCTGGCACCCCCACTGCTATGGATCCATCTAACTGGCCAAATGAGATTGGTTGTTCCAGTCTCCTGGATGGGATGCCCAGATTCCCCACTAGTGTTGGGATAATGAGGCAGCGGGTGCAGCCAGAGTCTATTAAGGCTTTCACCTTCACAGCTTCGGGCATGGGGGGGATTAATATAGTCACTGTTTTGAAGATGGGTGTGATGCATCCATTTACCAGGGGTTCGCCCTCCGAGCTGTCATCTGAGGCATCCACCAGCCCTGTGGTGTAGGCTGGAGTTCTTTCCCCTTGGTGAGCAGAAGTGGGGGGTTCCGCAATTTCCATCATTCTCATGGCAGTTTCTTTTGGCTTAGCTGAAGACTTTCCGGGTTTGGTGATTGGGGATCTGTCTGGGTTGTGCTGGGGGGCTTTGGAGCAGCATTCTATAGCTCGATGCCCTTCTCTTCCGCACTTAAAACACCCCATTTGCTTCTTGGCTGTAGCCGATGATTTCACCGGTTCGTGTGTCAGCTCAGGCGGGGGGTGGCTCCATTGTTTTCCTCGGCGATGTCTTTTCAATATGTCGATCTCTGCTTCCTCTGCCAAGATGTACCATTCCTCAAGTTGGTGTGGGTCCCCTCGGGGAAGGCAAGCATCATATAGATCATAATTTAGTCCGTCTTTGAAATGGCTAAGGAGGATGTCTTCTGACAGTTTGCTGGCAATGGCCCGGAATTCATGTGTATATTCAGCCACCGGGCGTTTGCCTTGCCTCATCGTTTTTATCCTTTCACAGGCTTTGCGATCAGGCAGGGGGGGGTCTTCAAATCGTCTTCTCAGAGAGTACATGAAACGGTTGAAGTTACTGAGTTCTGGGGCATTGGAATCATGCAAGTTCACCACCCAATCTGCAGCCGGTCCGTCCAGGGCAGATTGCATGATCCGGATGCGGGCTTTGTCGCTGGGGATGTCCTGCCCGTATTCCTCCATGTAGCTGAGGAC